TTTTATATTTATAAACTTTATAAAGCAATTTTTAATACTTTTAAATATAAAATTTGAGCATAATCATCATTTTGACAGTACTTTGTAATTTCAAAGACAATATAGATTTAATAAGATATTTTTTACCCTGAATATGAAAATGAGGTTAGATGGAGGACGATATCTATTTGATATGGATATTTGGATTCTGAAAATGAAAACGGGGCTGAATTAATAAGATTTGAACAGAAAATGATTTGCAACATCATGTATAAAAGCTTAAAAATTTGTTGGTTATGTTTTAAAAGGTGTATAATAGTTATTATTGATATTTTTCTCAGCATGCTCCAGTGGAAGGTACGGACCCAATTGTGCGTACCCTTGTAGTCAACGTTGTGATAAAAAAGAATGTAACAATACTGATGGGCGGTGTACAAGCGGCTGCATACCAGGATGGACAGGAGTGACCTGTGCAAAACGTGTGTACTTATTCAATCTTCAATACTTTATATCAAGTGTCTGATAAATGAAGATATTTTCATATCTTATATCATCATTAATTTCTTTATAAAAGTGTTTGTTGACCTTTAATGTTTTCATTTGCTAGGTCATTTATATGTTTCTCATTTTATTACTGTAAATGAAATATTGTTGGTGTGCTACATTTAAGATTAAGCAGGTAAACACAACCAATTATTACACATTATAATGATGAATCATTTTAAGAAACGTGTATTAAAGGAGTACAATTTCTGGGATCTAGTTTATAGATACGAGTTCAGACCGTTTCGTTCGTTTACACCACTAGAAAATGTTAAACAAGATACAAAACATGTAATAAATGATTGTTATTACTACTTAGAATATCATAAATATTTTGTATTACATTAAAAAGAAATAGAATTTAAAAAAGAAATAGAAACGCTGCTATCAATTTTCACCGTTTCACCATACCCTTTGCAGATGCAAACGTCACAACGATGTAAGTTTACGTCATGTAAAGTGTTCCATTAAAAATGGCTTTATTATACTTTCCTCTGCAATATTGCCCGTTTTTATATTTACATATCAATCTCGCATACACAGTACCCTAAAACTGTCTTGTCAAATTGTCTCACGACTCTAAGCAGGAAAGATCACACACTGAAAAAGTCATATAAGCGCATAGTAATAAAATTATCTTTTTCTTCGAAAATGGGTGTATAAATTGTTAAAACCATGTAACAAAGAAATAATGGGGACAACCAGTTTATCTTTAGATAACAGCTAGTATTCACGGACTGGCCATGTGTAACTGCATGCCCTCACAATATATCTCGTCGCGCCATTATGAACATACTTTAAGACTTTTGTTGATTGGAAGGAAATACTTTGTTACTCGTTTACACTCAGACGATTTTCGTTTGTTTATTGATGAAATAAGTTTATTTATATTGCTATAATTCTTCAAAGAACTAGCCGTACCCTTCATGGCTCAACCCCCGCATGATCGCCTTTGTTACTCAAACACAACCATCAAGAACAGACCTTGTTTATTATCAGCTTGTCCTTCATGATTAACACCTTTGCAAGAAAACACCCTTATACTGAATATACAATCCTCTTCTAAGACCACATTCACAAAAGCCCACTAAATCCTCGTTTATACCTGAAACTTAAATCTAGTATCGTCTTAAGTCGATTTTCGAGGGTATTTTTGTCATATGTAAACCATTAAAGGGATACTCAGGCGAATTAATGACAAAAATATCAAAATGATCGTAAGTACTTAAATCACGCTAAAATGACATTTTATAAAATCCTAGCGTGAATTTCTGTATAAATTCTTTATAATTTGGGTTTGAAGCTTAAATATATCTATATTACTTGAATGAAATTTAGACGCCGACAAAATCACCGAGTAGTTTTAACAAGTCGTGTGACTTGAACAAAACCCTTGAAGTTACAATAACAGATAGTGTGGAAATTGTATGATTGAATCAAGTCTAAGTCAATCATCGTTCTTTAACGTTTCCAGAGTTCACTGTGACAACTTGTATGAAGTCTAAACGCTCTAACCTGACCCAAGTGGGTTGGGAAACAACCATTTTATTCTTTATAAGGAGAAAAGTTGTGTTCCTGTGACTGCCCAGTGTATTTATTTTGAGGACATATACATAATAATGAATGAAAAATTCAAAATGAAGAAATTCGAATGTTGCCTGTGTCTCCGTTTAAACGGAAAAACAGGCTAAGTGGGGCTTTTGATGACCTGTTCATAATATCTACAGGCGATTTTCAAAAGAAAAGCGTCCGTGACGTTAAATTTTGCTATTTTAATTTAAGCAAATTAAAAAGTGCCTGGAAGTGCTGTGAATAAAATTTTAAGTAACTCAATTTGTTGCCTTTGTCACAAGTAAAATAGAGTCGCGGATCCGTCTGTCAATTTATTGAGCTGAAATGAAAACAAAAATAACATGTAGACGCAAGTAACGTTCAAAACAGAATTGAATACGGACATAACGGACATACCTCGCTTTAGTTGTGTCGATGCAAAAATATGAGAAAAAGATTAACAAGGAAAGGCGAAATTGGTACCGGTTGCAATGTTTCAAACTTATTTTAGAAAATCAAATTGTATCAGTTAACGATATTGCTCTTGTAAGGTATGCTTGTCATGTATCGAATTCGAAGGTTAAGATGTTACCTTACTCTTCTTTCTTAACAATCAGTTTTCATTCTGTTTCATTTTTGTCTCGTTTTTTTTATTTTTCTTACCGATTCTTATGTAAATATTCTTGCATATCAGTAACAAAATAGGGCAATAGCAAGCTGTCTCCATATAGCTGTACGCTGCCTCACCAAGTATGCTTATTTGTTATGAATTAAAATTACTTTCTTGATTAAAGAGAAACATAAGAGAGAAAGTACTTTCACAAACGGTTCCCTTTATCAACTGCATTTGGCAAATGTGATATCATGTAGACTTTTGAAAGAGCGTTAATGAGCGTTCAAAAACGTAAGTTTGTGAATGAGCTATTCGAACCGGTAATTGGCATTCCGATAGGTACTAATTGTGTACCCCTGTTCGCTGAATTTTTTAAAATTGCTTCGAGAATTTATATGAAACCTAACTTTTAAATGTTATGTGTTTTAAAATAGTCCCATGTGACTATCAGTTGATGAAAGCTTAATTTCAACAACGTTTTTTGTTTGTATTTTTATTGTTTTTTTTATTAATATATTTCTAACAATACAATACACACTATCAATAAAAGGCAATCAAATGATTTACACTTACTTCCAAAATTTTTGTCTGATATGAGGATCACTATTTTGTCCTGTGTTCAGCAGCACAGCCGATATCATAATTTATCTTTTTTATTAATATATCGGATAAAACCGCACTTGAAATAGCTGAAAATATTTGGTTTCAGTTTACGTACCGTATGTATGTGTGTTAAATGACAGAGACATTCTATGTTACAACTCTTTTTGGAATCGACCATAATTCTTTTTTTATCCAGCGCTGTTAAAGTTAATAAAAAATATTTCATAAGATACAGCTTTATCCCCTTAATACAACTTGGTATTGCTTTTTAACGTAATGTAATGAGCCACGCATTACGAAAGAAAATTGAACAAAATTTATTTTCATAAAAGTTTCAATAGTTTGAATAATTCTAATTCTGGTTCATGTTCTTTTTAATTCAATTTACGTCCATATAGTTGAAAGTATTTGAGAATTTATGATTTAAATAATCAACACAGTAAGCTCCAGAAATAATTGAAATGAAAATCTGTAATTTCAGTATTTATGAGTGTCACCAAAGATCACCAAATACATGTATAGCCTTATAAGTATGCTTAACCATATATATGCTCAATTCCAGGATAATCTTTTTCCAGAATATTTCATCAGGCAATATACACTCAAGACGTTTACATGCTATTTTTATCTTTCTTTAAGTGTCCCCATTGCTCTAGAATCTTTCAAATGTAAATATAATTATCAAACAATAAAACAGCACTCCAAATACAAAGCAAGAATATAATACGTTAAAATACTGCACACATACAAGTATCAAAAACATTATGAGAACATCTATCAAAACAATTTGACAAAAGAGTTTCACTAATGGTTATTAATCCAGTTGGATCCATAATTTAAAGAGAAAATGTAGCAATTATCTTTAATATTGATATATATGTATAGATAGGATATCTAAGTCAGAATGTGCTGCTGAACAGACAAGATCAAAGTATGTTAACATTTAAATCAATTGTGAATTATTGTTCTAACTTTCTGATGAGATTTTGTTCTGTATTGGTATTTATAATGTTGATTACAGATTACACTGCATTTGCTTTTGTAAACATTTGACAAACAAGATCTTATTTATTATACAGCTTGTGATCTTGGTTTTTATGGTCAAAACTGTTTTACGAAGTGCAGTGACCATTGTAAACACAAGAAATACTGCAACAAGGTTGACGGAAAATGCACAAATGGATGCATGGATGGATGGAAGGCACCATTGTGTGACCAAGGTAATATTTCGTTTCAATATTTACGTGATTTAACTTCAATATTATATTGTTAAAGTTCAGATGAGTTTGGTTTATTTGTATATACTAGTTTATTACAGCACGCCCGTAGAGGCTTAATTCACTGATGTACTAATATACAAAGAAATATAAAAAAAATCCGATTCATAAAAACATTTAAATCGCTTTTTAAAATTTATAAGGATATATTTATAAACTTAATTTATTTGACTTTTATAGCACAATGTTTGTGCAATGCACGGTTATTTCTTCGTCACTTACAAAATGTACATCACTTGCTTGGCAGAAACCCGGTTTTAATATATTGTATTAAATATTCAGTTTACTAAAACATTGTTCTGTTCCTTTGCTAATTGTAAAGTATGGGAATTTCAATTAAATGAACGCCTGCTTAGCATGCACAATACGGATATATCGATATGTCTGTGAGGGGCCATTGTAAAAAAAAAATATTGGTAAAAAACCATCAGCATTTCAGCTTTTAAAAAGAACAGGTGACAGATAATATTAGGAAGACTATCGAACCCGTCCTCATGGTCATTGTTCTTGAAGACCACAAACAGCAAAATGCAGTAAAGATGCAGTTCAGCTAAAAATGAAATTATATATTTCACAGTCTTAAGTCTAGCTGAAATATTTTCACGAGCGGCGTAGCCTGATTTTACATGCAAAACAAACACAATTTTAATTTATTCCATGGTTTTTAGTAGTTTTGTGTCATTATGTTAATGCATAGAAGAGCATCTGAGGTCTTCCTCCAATAAAGCTGGAAATTCGCCATATGCCCTTAACTGTGTTGTTGCGACGTTAAACCAAACACAATATATTATTTGACCGAATATTTCTTCGTAACGTCATGCGATTTCCTTCATGACGCTATCAAAGATGACATCAAAATTGTCATATTGAAAATACTCTGTAATATTTTTTTTTCTTAAATTTGGTTTCACTTTTTTACATGTGGATATATCTATATGTTTCTCGTAATCAGTCATATGTTACTCAAGACGATACGAGACGTTTCTTCACATTTGTCCATTTATTTATGACACGTGCTTGTCATCTGCATTACCAAATAGTCCGGCAACTGTAAAAATTATACGAATTAACTTAACTGTAAAATAATTAAAATATATTTTCATTGTCTATTGAAAAAGCATGTCATAAATTTATGTGTAAAATATGCAATTGTAATATCTCGATGAATTTAGCCTGCCATGTTTATAAAGTATCAGATATGTTGCCTTGTTACGACCATTTTATTCATAAACAATAGATGGATAGATGCAAAGAAAGAACCATTAAGGCTGCATGTTTCTATTTGAGGAAAACTGTATCGAGAATATATAAAATGAAAAGTAAATATTTATGCAATTCAAGAAGTAATTTGCAGTTATGCAGTAAATGGCTGATTTTGCAGTACTTATCGCGGTACTTTTACTGCTTGACTGACGTAGTGTAATGGTTGTTTAATCATATTCCGACATATTTTTGTTAATTTTCTTAGAATGAAGTTTGCAATGTGTAAATTTCTTTCTTTGTTTATTTTAAAAATGCTTTTCTTTTTAAAGCATTTTTTTATGAAATAAGCAAGTATCTGGAAACATGCTGATTTAAATTATGATTGAATGCCGAAAAAATGGAAAACAACAAAACAACTATTCGCTTTCTGTCCGCGTATTTAAAACTAGTTTGCTTGTAAAAATGATATCGGACTAGATCTACGTCGAAAAAACAAATGTAGAAATATAAATGGTTATATACGGTTCTTATATGGATATTTCTTTCGGCCTCGGAGAATATTATATTAACCATGTCCATAGACGTGGGTATTCACCTCATCATTATAAAATAAATACTAGTATATTATCGTCTCAAAATGTATTAATCAATACAATGTGCTAATTTATGATTATTTTGCAAATCAAAACTATGATTCTACATCGATTTTAATAGTAATGTTGTTTACTGTTTTGACCTAAGAATTGCATGCTATTGTTTACAAAATATTCGTTATATCCTCAGAGGAAATCAATAACAGATTACAATATGACAGAAGACTGACCTGTACATATATACTTTTAATAATGTCTTGCCAACATTATTGTTTGACAATTTGTCTTTGTACAACAGACATAATTCATTATTTAATTCATTTTTTTCTTTTTAAGATTTGCTATTTTTAACATATAATTTAAAGACGTTTCCGAGAGTACTGCATTTAAATACAAAGGTTATAATGGAAAAACTAGTGCCGTGAAATTTTTCTTACACTGTGCATACAAAATCAAAATTTAACCAAAATTGAAGGAAATAAGAATGGAAGTCACCATTCCACTTTTTGATTAACCTACCGCTGTTAATGAGTTTCTTCATTTTTGTTCTTGTAGTTCTTGTTGTTTTGTTTGTCCTTCATATGCCATTGTGAGACCAATACGAAGATTACAACGTTCAATTATCTGAAAACAGAGTTACCCTTTGATGGTTTTGAATTGTTTTATACCTAATAGCATGCCCTGCTAGAAAGTTTGGTGCAGGATGTAAGGAGGATTGTGCTTCCACTTGCAAATATGATATTTGTGATCATGTGAACGGCAGTTGTCGTGGTGGATGCAAGCCAGGTTATCAAGGAAATAAGTGTGAAAGTGGTAAGTCTTTCCAATTGGTTTAAATATATACGATATCAATTGAGTAGTTTCTTTTTAGACGTCAGTTATTGATATATTGATTAGAGAAGTATGTTTAAATTTCTATCTATACGAATAAACAAAAGGATTGTTAAAATTGTTAAGGCAAGGCGGGATGTTTAACTCGTCGGACTGGTAATTTAATTATTGCTAGCCGCATGGTTTAGACCCCGTCAGGGACAAGCCGTTGTTTCCTGGAGCAAGACACTTTACATTGCTCAGTACTGGTTGGTTCGAGGAAGGGATTCAAAAGTAGGTCTATAAGCTTATGATTTCCTACACAATCGAACTAAAATCATAGACATAGCGTGTAATTTATAATACATTTCTACTTAACCAATCCAGTAATGAACGTATACTTATTCAATATCTTCTAAAATATATTAGTTTGTAATGTCTACAAACTGATCATTTTGTAATATCATATAGGTTATTTATCTGCGAATCTAAAAAAAATATTTCCATTGTAATTATCTTAACAATTGACCAAATTGTTTTCATCAAAATTTGCATGATGTAATTATTTACAAAGTATTCTATATTTCAAATTACACAAAGGAAATCAAGGTGAGAAGATGGGCACTGTGAGCAAAATGACTTTTGTACCGTACACTTCTTTTATCAAAAATAAGTTGACAAACATTTCTGCTGATATTGCAAATATGTTTAAATTCTGATAAAATGTACACTATGAAAATATTCGGTAATTCCGTTAAATCAATTAAAGAATCTACACATATATCAAAAAATGTTTATTTCTAACACGGTGTTCATCCATTTAGTACTTTATGTTTTTAAATGTGATTTATTTGCTTATTGAAATGTAGTTCTTCATTGTAAATTCTCTAGAAACTGATCATTTTTTCTACTTTTGTACCAAAAAATACAAGTTATATTGGTTTACAACCTTTTGTACATTCCGCCACGTCAAATTTGAACTTCAGTCAAGAAATAAATGAAACAATAACAGAAACATGCTCATTATACAAAACGTACTCGAGCACATTTGTACGAGGACCAGCAATATCTCACGTTAAGTTGATACATGTTTCTTTTACAAAAATGATTAATAAAAGATTAAAAATTGAATGCATAATGTTCTTTACCCCAAAAAATATCCGAATTTATGTGTTCGAACACCAGACAAAATATACTTTTTTTATCCAAGATGAGTTGATAATCACGTCTGCTGATTCAACAAATGTATTTAATTGCTAATGGAAAGTGAATAAACATTTTATGTTTCATAGAATGTAGATTATGAAAATATTAGTTTTTATGCGATTTTATAATTAGTATTATTATAAGCTAATTAACTGGAATGTTACGCATTCGTAACTCTTTGTATTGAAATAATTGATAGAATGTGGTCCTGTGACGATTGGAGAATATTGTCAGGAGAAATGTTCTTCTACTTGCAACATTTTAACTATTTATATCTTATTATCTTTTGGATATAAGTTGTCTTTTTTAAATTACAAAATACTTGTTGTATGTCTTTATTTTCATCCTTTAAAATTTGACAAATGAAATCAATAAATAATTCACTCAATAAAAATAAAATACTTTATTTCTTACTTGTTGTTCATCCATTAAATGATTAATAATTTAATCCATTATCCGCCTAGGCAGATCAGAAGCACATACAGCTTCTATCATAAATGAATTACAGCGATCACGATCGTTTCTTCTTATTCTTACAGAAATGTGAATTAGCGTAATATATTGTATTTTCTAGAATGTCCCGATGGAAAGTTTGGTGAAGAATGTAAGGAGAATTGTCCTTCTAATTGTAACAATAATATGTGTGATCATGTGACTGGTAATTGTACAAACGGATGTAAGCCTGGCTATAAAGGAAATACTTGTGAAGAAAGTACGTATATGAGATAGTTTGAAATAAATTATATGCTGATTTATTTATTTATTTATTTATTTATTTATTTATTTATTTATTTATTCATTTATTTATTTGAATTATTTCCTATTACATTTTATTTTAAAGCACTGATGAAGTTTAAAAACTTAAATGTCATGGCATTAGAATCTACATTGCATATATTTTATTTCAATTTTAACACACATACGTAGTTTGCAAATGTTTTAATTAAAATATCGATGTCATTGGTTCATTTGTAATGTAAGTTTATACATACAGAAGGAAACATTTTCAAAACCACGGAATTGAGACCATTCCACCATTAAAACTAAAAAACGATTATTTTTCGATCTGAAGTCAATAGAAAAACGATCAACAATTAAAGACCACTCTGCGTATCCACTATTTAGACCCCCAGTTTGAGTCCAAATTCTTTCTTTAATTTTTCAACTATTGATACACTGGTAATCCAGTCAACACCATAAATTATTTTGTGTATTCATAGACTTTAAGCAAGCCTTTGATACAATGTGGAGACAGTGACTTTGGTAAAAATTATTGAAATATAATATTAATGGAAAATGTTTTACTGTTATCAAGAATATGTATCACAATATCAAATCAAGGATAAAATCAAATAATTGATATTCAGATTTTTCCCCTGCATGAATGGAGTGAGACAAGGAGAAAATCTCTCACCTTTATTATTTGCAATATATTTAAACAATCTTGAAAACTATCTCTGCAGTAAAAAATGTAAAAGGTATTGAATAAAAAATAAGCCACAAAGAGTTTGGGGTGTATTTTAGATTGTACATTATTCTGTATGCTGATGACACAATACTACTGAGTGAAACTAGTGAAAATTTACGAGAAAATTTAAACATATTTGATAACTACTGTAAAGAATGGAAACTTCAAGTAAATACTCAAAAACTAAAGTACTCATAATTGGCTTAAGAAGCAACTAATATAACAACTATTTTAAATTCATAAAACTACATTTATAACAACAAATGAGTTTAAATTTCTAGGTCTCTATCTTTCACGGACCAAAAGTTAAAAAAAAAACTTAACAATATATATCTGATCAGGCAAATAGGGCTATGTTTTCCTTACAAAAAATACTAGGTTTCTTAACTTTACTATTGATTTACAAGTCGACCTCTTCAATAAAGCTATTTAACACATCTTGTTGTATGACTGTGAGATATGGGGATTTTCAGGCAGTAAAGAACTCGAAAAAATACAACTGAAATTCTTTAAAATGATACTTAATCTGAAAAAGACAAAACCTTCATACATGATATTTGGTGAATTAGGAATAAAACTGCCTTAAATTGACATTAATTTTAGAGTTATTAATTGTTGGTGTAAATTGACTGACATAACAAGCAAAAAATTATCTAACAATTTGTATTTAACTCTATATGGATTACGTGATCAGGGCATATTAAAATCAAAGTGGTTAATGCATATAAAAGACTTTCAAAAAAAATGATTTGGAAATATTTGGCAGCAACAAATTCAAAAATGATAAGAAAATGCTTCCCTCTTGCCTTTAAACAAAATATTAATGACCAGTACTTACAAGAATTGAATGAATAAGTTACAGAATCAACATGCAGTATTAATTATAAACTAATTAAACATGAATTTGGGGCAAATAAGTATCTTAATTTTCTTCCTGATTATTTTTGTAAAATCATCACAAGTTTTAGGACAAGAAATCATAGGCTCCCATTGGAAGTAGGATGATGGTCAGAGGTACCATATACAGAAAGAAAATGTACATAATGTAATTTAAATGAAGTAAGGGATGAATTTCGTTACATTTTCTGTTGTAAATTCTTATGTGTAGAAAGAAACATAAAACCATGTGATTCCAGGAATCCAAATATTTTTTAATTCTCTCAACTCTTAAACAATGAAAATAAACAGGAATTAATAAGATTAGGCAAATGGATGGACTGTATAATGAAATTGTTTAGAAATGATACTGTAGTTAAATTTGTATATGTATATTTGTATCCAATTTGGTTCGTCCAATCAGGTCGCGTATTACACCCCAGGTATCAGACTGCAAAATGGCAGTGACAAGTAAAAAAAAATACCGAGAAACAGAAAAAATTGGAATGATATTGATATTCATAGGACTTGAAGTAAGTAAGCTGTGGAATTCTTATTTTTTTATTGATGTTAATGAATGATGCAGCGAAATGCCGCCGAAACGCGCCTCAGTCGCCGAAACGACGACTTCCCGTGTTCCACATTGTTTGGCAAATGAACATAAAGTAGGCTATTCACCTTTCTATAACTATAATTTTGATAGTGGAAAAAATGTTGTTTTTATAGTTTTATCGGTGGTTTTGTATTTGTTACCTTATAGTAAACCTTAGAGTGTTGAATTTTTTTCAGGGTTGAAGTAGGGTTCCCGTGGCATGTAGGGGTGGGTGTCCAAACACTGATAATGCCACCTGTGTTTAACATCCTGTCAATCAATAAAATAAATATTTTTTTCTTAACGACAATCGGCACACTTCTGTTGTTACTTCACGTGCCGTCCAGACAAAATAAACACACCTGGCCGAACGTAATGACCCGCCAAGTCTATTTATAACCATACTCAGTTACGTAATTACTAGGGTATTGTTGCACTGAATTGAAATGTGTGTGTAAAAAAAGACATTTTTATATGTGTTTGAATTATTTTCGTTAATATGTATTGATTATTATGTATGAACTGTACTGGAACTTTTATGCACGTGGCAAATTGTATGTAATGTAAATGACATGTATTATCTCTTATATTTGTATGTATGCAAACAGAGAATATGTAAACAAAACTTTTTTTTTAAAAAGCGGTCAATCTATACCACATGTTTGTTGTTATTTTCTGCTTGATTGCTCTAAGGCAATTTTTATGAAACAGGGTGTTAAAACTGTTGAAGTTTGAATGTGGTATAAATGCAAAGTAAGAATTTCAGATTGGTTTAAATTGCTCTCTAATTTTTTATTTTGTGTAAATTTAATTCTTACTTGAATCATGTACATCATTTAATAAAATAACGACAAATGATAGTTTAAACTTTATAATAAAATTCTCCAGAATAATGTTCTGCTTTCCGTTAGCCTATGTATTATAATATCTTTTAAAGTAGGATTTGAAATATATAATACATATTGTTTGAACATGTTAATACAAAATGACCGAAAGAGACCTTGATTTTAAGATTGTAAACCTTGACACTAAAAATGACAAAAGATACAACTTGTAAATTAAGACTACCTTTGCTCAGCGCAGTTGGCGGTCTTAACTACAAGGTTTTTGATGCAATATTGATAAAGTTATTAATTTATTTCAAAACTATGGTAATCAAAGTACATGTACGTTGTTTATTGTTTCATGTTGCAGATATAGATATTATTTACAATAAAAAATTAGGTAAGCTACATTTATAACCATTTCTATGTAATGATAGAGTGCATAGCCAAAAAATATGGTGAAGGATGTAAGGAGAATTGTTCACTAAATTGCAAAACTGGTGCTTGCAATCATGTCAACGGCAATTGTAGTGAAGGGTGCAACTCGGGTTATCAAGGACTCAAGTGTGAAGAAAGTAAGCTAGCTTTTATTTTACAGCACATATTTTTAAGACGGTGTTCTACTGTTATAAACATGTTATTGAAAGCTTCAACATTCGATTCCATACAATTATATAGCTGTACATTATGACTCCATACAAGGTGTTTTTGTTATTATAAGCATTTACTCACTTGAATAGTTTGCATTTGTTGAATATATTTACATTATCATAAAATTTACGTAATTTTAATGTAAATTTACAGTTTTATCTGGGCTATTTAAACAATGTTTACTTGTTAATAGTTTACTTGTTCATAATATTTAGAATGTAATACTGGTCAGTATGGTGATGATTGCGACGACAAATGCAGTGCTCATTGTAAAGACAGAATATGTAGGCATACAGATGGAGAATGTTTGAATGGTTGCGTGGCAGGGTGGAATGGTAAAAAATGTGATTCACGTAAGTTTATGGAATTAACAAATTTGTATTTCATTTTACTATCATGATTTGTTTTTTTCTATTTTATATAAATTAAATAAACATTACTTCAAAATTTCTCAATTTTCTCATTTTTCCTCATTTTCATAAATTAAATGGAAAAAAATCTGTCACACATAGTTCCAAAACTAATCAAAACCTTTTAAAATCTATCTGTTTGTTTTATTCTTATTTTTTTATACTGTGTTGATTAGATTTGGAATAACATATGTGTATTGTTGTTGGTTTTCTTCTGCTTTTTCTTTCTTTAAACTTTTTTACATTGATTATTTTTTCGTTTTCAGCAAAGTTGAAATCGAAATATTTATTCTTCAAGATATAAAATCTATTTACTATCTTTATTTCATCGTCTTTTTATGATAAATTATCAGCATATACAAGCAGAAATACGGAAAGTCAAACACACTAATGACAGAACAATTTCATTTTTTATCAATGATATTTAGATGAACTCCTATATTCCATTCCTGAATAAGGTCACATTCTGGTGAGTTATCTAACATTTGTTTTGGTATTTGAGTGTTTCTGTGGATTCAAACAACTTTATTCTTTGTTTGTTGTTTGTTTAATTGGGTTTTACGTCATACGTCATCTGGCGACGATCCAGCTTTACTGGCGGAGAAAGACTTCAGGTGCCCTTTCGTGCATTATTTAAAGTTGCTTGAAGTCAATGACCTTAACCACTCGGCTACGGACGCCCAAAAAACTTTATTCTTTTCATTACGAAATATAATACTTTCTTTCATTATGTTATTAATAGAATGTAGCCGTGGCAGGTTTGGTATTGGCTGTAAGGAGAGTTGTCCTTCAAATTGTAAACATGATGCCTGTGGGTATGATCATGGCAATTGTGGTGAAGGGTGCAAGCCAGGTTTTCACGGAAATAAGTGTAAAAAAAGTAATTATTTTTCCGTTACATTTGAGTCTGGTCTTTTTGGTTCATTAATTACAGTGCTTTAAGTGGATGAATGAACGTTGCTTAAGCGTATGGTATATGTCGTTAGATATGTTGTACTTTTCTTTATCACAGGCACATGAGTAAATGCAATTTTCTCATAGTAGGTTTTTTTATTATTTAAGTGATACCCTTAAAAGTATTCTAAACATCTAATGTTTGATAACGATAACGATCAAAAAGTTTTAATGTCAATACAGTAGTGAACCTGAAATGGAAATTATTTTCAGACATATTTTGAAGCATAATTATGCAATACAATTGAATGTCGTACCAGCAGATTTCGATTTGTAAAACATAACTCTTGATTAAAACGAAACATGTGTATGTATTGAATCTTCAGTAGAACTTTAAGTTTCTTTAAATAAATGTTATCCTAAATTTTAAACAAATTTCTGTGATAAAAGTATTTATTCTTGTTATGTTTAATTGATATCAATTATTTCAATTTCTTTGTTTGAATACTTTTGTTAGTTTGTACTAGCGGTACCTTTGGCGATGAATGCGGCAAGAAATGCAGTGGTAATTGTGTAGGCGGAGATAAAATGTGTAGACATACAGATGGACATTGTCTAAATGGTTGCCAGGCAGGGTGGAATGGAACAAACTGTTTCTCAAGTAAAAAATAGCTTTTTTTCTTTATTTGATCAATCACTTTATACAATTTTTCTTCAAAAGCTGATTTAAGATATAGCGTGTTCTTTACAAAATCTGGAAAAGGGGAGATTTCTCGGTATTCTGTAAGTTTTTGATAAAAAAAACGTTATAACAACATAAATCCCGATCGGGTTTCAGTATTCAAGACATCGTAACGTCCGGAATATGTATGTACTATAAATTCAATCGCATATACTTAATGAAAAATTATTCCCTCCGTTCTGTTTAAATTTGCTTAACGCATTTTACAGAAATTATTTAATAAAAGGAAAATTGCATAATGATGCTATCCCACTCATCCTGAATATAACTTTGCATAGTATACTCGGACGATATTACCCATTAGAATTTAACATCCGGGGAGTATTGCTTTTAATTGTAAATGAATGTTGGTTTTGAAAAATAACATTTTACTTACACAATATAGTTCCGAAAGGGAATTTATATTTTATGTTGTACTTTCGTTGTTGTTTTTTTTTAACATTTTATATAGTTTATTTAAATATTGTATCATGTCAAACTGTTACACTTAAACACATATATTTCTAAGAATGTGACATTGGGTTTTACGGTAAAAACTGCGCGTTGGAGTGTGGTAACTGCCAGCTTGGAAACCGTTGCGACCACGTTACTGGCACTTGTCAGGGAGGATGCAAAACTGGTTACAGTGGCGCCACCTGTTTACAAGGTATTTTACTATACGCTTCATTTTAAAAGCAAGTTTGTGTTTTGAAAGTAAGCTTATTAAATTAATCCCGGCTTCTGTCAATGTAGATTTTATCTTGATATTTTCATCAGTTCATTTTCATTACCATTTGCTTGCTTGCATGCTATTATCAACATTTTCAATTGTTAGAACTTTATAATTGATTTTGAACTTTTAACATTTGAATGATTATAAATGGCGTTTTACTTTCATAGAGTGAGTCAAACAATGGACTTGTGTTCCAGAGGCTTAATTTGTAATACAAAGTACGGGGAAAATATGTGTAATCCCTTTATTTTACGCCAAGGGCAGATAACTCGATAGACAATTCTTTATATTTACAGCAATGCAAACGTTGAATATTTCGAATTCGATTGTGGCAGGGGGAGTAGCAGTTCTTATCATCTTAATTTTAATTGTAGTTATTGCTTTCGTTTGGCATAAGCAACGCAATCAGAATAAAAGGTATTGTTATATTATTGTGTTACTAACTTACTACATGTGTTTAAATTCTGAAGCAGTGTAAATATAGAACACAAAACTGCATCATTTTAGTACAAAATAATAATTTGATTTTTATTGAATATTACATAGATAAAATATCTGAATATATGTATACTTTTCTTCCATAATATTTCAGCACTATTGAAGAAATAAACATAAAGTTTCAGCGCTCATTTCTTGTAAATCTTGTAGGAAATTAGAACTTTCAAAGTTTGAACGAAATTGTGAAAATTTAAGAAATAAAGAAAAACAAGTTCAAAATATTGAGTATTTACTGTTTTGATATCGCATATCATTTTCTTTTAACCATAGGAAAAATGAACAAAAAGGTGACGTGGAGCTCAGAGACGCTGTTGCGACTGCTAGCAATGAAAATCGAAGGCCATCTCACGATGGAAATACGCAATCAAATACAGGTATGGCGTAATTCAAATGTAGATCTGATTATTCCTTTAAATTACAAATTGTTTGATTACAGAATGCATTTACCAATTACCGTATATCTTAATTTGTACACTGTATTTGGTTATAATTAATTGCTGTCAATTGTAATTTACCAGTTAAAAGGACACAAATTATATTTTACGGGTAAAAAGTTGTTCCTGGTCAAACAAAACAAAAATAAATAAAAGAGAAAAAACTGTGCAATTTTCTTATTTACACAACCCAATGGTCATACCTGGAGAGTTGTGATAACTATAACTATTGATAAATTAAAGGTCATATAGATTATATTCAATGTGATACTTAGCTATAAGTAGACATAGCCCTTTGCTTACGAATGTTAAAACCACTCCATCAGTCATCTACAAACATTATTCTCTTATTTTAGGTACTTTGATTATATTTATATAATGGATACATATAGCCTACCGATCACACACGACAGCTTAAATATTTCAATCACAGAATATTGATGCATCAGGTTGTTTAGGGTTTTTTGTATCATCTCGTTATTTATGCAAATTTCTATCTGGGCTCATATTTTAATCACCTAACGCGAATCTGTATGTACATGACAATTACGTTTAGAAGTGCCAAGTCATTTGCTGTGTATCACCTTACTTTGTTGTATTTTTTTCTAGTCCTTTGGTATCATTGATTTCAACCTAAAGATTAAATATTACTTTACCAGTGCTATGATAACCTTTTTTATTTCATTGACAGACTTTTACAAATTTGCAAATTTCAATTATCTTTCTAGTTCCCTATTTCAAGGAGATGTACGGACCTACATAGGCTTGAACCACGTGTCCGTTATTGGTTTTATAGTATTGATACAGTTTAATTTTGATTAGATATATGATGTCCTATCTTTCTTAAGAATCTGTCAGTGCTGTCCAAATCCCAGAAGAATTTGTAGTTTATATCTAGTATCATGAATAGGCTTAATGATACTAGGTTTGATATTGTTTTATACTGAAGGGTAATTGCTGAACATATCATACACTAATGTCATTTACAAATATGTAAATGAATGTCATTTACGATAATGTAAATGTGCACGTACGTGAATGTGGGTTAATACTTTAAAATAGAAGAATAATAAAGGTTTATTTAAATGGGTTTGCTTTCAGCATATGACAGTGGAAGAGCGGCGGCAGCAGCTGATGCGAACATTTACAACAACTTCCCGATGCAAATTCCTACCAGAAATGCCATTCCACTGTCAAATCTCCTACAATATGTCAAAGAGAATCTGGCCAATCCTGACCACTTTGCAACTGAATTTCAGGTTATTTGATGTTCTTTATGGGAACGTTTTTAAATTATTTATGTGTTTAGAAAAGATACTGGAGATCTAGATAATTAGATATTCTTATTGATTAAATGTTAAGTGAATGGGTTAATTGTGCTGATATAATTCATTACGTTATGTGATAACAAACCAAGAATTTTTTTAATGATAATGTTGTGTTGTTGGTAAGTGTGAGGTACGTGATCTTTTACGACATATCCTTTTATAGCAGATAATAATTTGTTCTAGCACAAAATATTATTATTCATCATATAAATGTCCATATAAAACAACCTGTATCAAAATTTTGTTCAAGAGATATTCTATAAGAATATCCAAATGATACAGTTCTATTGTTTTATTATTTTTTTAAATACTTATTGAAAATGTGCTGATTGCAGACCCATTCATTTTAAAATTTATATTTAATAAAAAAAGAAATTAAATAGAGAATTGTATTGAAAAGAAATAGGTATTTTTAGGTTTTGTGACTTATATTACAGATGTACACACATTTATGTGCAGATAAAAGAAAAAGCAATGTTATAAAATGCAAAAATATCAAAAACCTGAAAGTTCAGATTTCGTTTGCATTTATTCAAATGTTGAGTAATTAAGAATAAATCTTATTGCTTCCAATATATTGTTTTTGTTTCATTTTTTTTTTTTTGGGGGGGGGGGGGTATTTTTTGTCATAGTTTTTATCTTGGTTTTGTTTCAGGATTACCCTTAATGGAATGAAAAGTCGTCTGCCGTTGCCAAAGAAATCGTTTAACCGTGAAAAGAACAGATACAAGGATAATGCACGGCATGTATGAAAATAATTTTTTACAGTTTTTGACATTATTATTGTATAATTGTATTTCTTTTCAAACCTGTGTAATAACGGAAAGTAAAAAGTTCAAAATCAAAACTAAAATATTATTTAAAGCTGAGGAATGCCTACATATAAGCAAAAATATTTCAATAAAACCAACCTTCAGGAAAAAGTAAAAACAATATAATATAATTTTGCAGTATTTATCTTCATATTTCTACTGTGCAGTAGGGCTAATTTTGCACATTTTTGAACATCTTTTTGGTAATTTACGTGGATTATAAGTGCCGTTTGCAATGTGTACAATTACTTTCTTTGTTCTCTTTACAATCGTTACTTTTAAATATATATCCAAAATTTTTTTATGACATTAGCAAAACCCAGCGTGCAAATTCCGTATACACTACTGGTATACGGTAAAAAGTCTGGATAACCGAAGATTGCAAGAATCTGGAGGCATGCTTCTCAATTAAAGCGCATGAACTTGATTTAATTAAGATGCTGTTCAGAACGCATACAGAAGGTTAACTTTCTCTCAGATGTTCATGCCTGAAATTATGAGCGTGTGTTTTTTTATTCACCAGTAAGATTGCAAGTCGCCATAATGACTGTGACAATCTTTGTGGGACTGACAACTAAACAAAAATGTCTGTTCAAAAAAAGAATATGTTTATTTTAAAAGTATTGTTACGGAAATGATAACGACTACAAAACTAAAGAAAAATATATAGAAAGTAACTTCAACAATGTGTTTTTAAGCAAGTGTTAACTAAAGCTTTACCATAGCACCACAGTTATTACTACGATAGTCATTTTAACTTTATATATAAGCCTCTCTAACAATAACTGATTACCGTCATGACACAATGTTATGTCAGCATCTTACAAAATACCTTCAGTTTTCAATTTTTAATGACAGTATTATCGTCTTAAACATACTTTTTCTTCTACCAATACATTTTATAAGCATGATGAAAATAAACTATTTGCATGTATTCAGTGACATTTTGTTCAATAAAGGTGGCTTTATGTCAATTTAATACTATACTTACATTTCTTGAATCATCAGATGATGAAACACGTGTTAAGCTGAAAAAACTGCCAAACATACAGGGATCAGATTATATCAATGCGAGTTTCATCAAGGTAAGACCTTTTAGCATACCTGAATCCTGTATGTTGTATTTAAGGATGTAACAAATCTTAAGTGAAATTTTATATACAGTCGAAACTGTACTAACGGTCACCTCTTATCGGCGGTCACCTGACCTTAACGGCCATTTTGTGACGCTCCCGACGAAAACCACTCTATTTTATACATCTGTTCAACGGTCACCTGCTGTCCGCGGTCAACGGTCACATAAAATGCTTCCCGAATCTTAAAGTCGGTCATCTTAAGCGGTCAGCCAGGTGAAACGGCCATGCAATCTTCTGCGGTCAGCCAGGTGAAACGGCCAGGCAATCTTCTGCCATTTATTTTTAAAGATGACACGTGCCACGGATTAACAAAAGCTACTTGTCAGGTGCTAGATATTAACACAAACCACAACATTTTAAGAAGTTTGCATAATTGCTCATTCGTGTCGTAATTACAAACGTTTGGAACGTCTCAAACGCTACTTGCAATTCGTTCTTTTGAGTTACTGTACGCTAGTTTTTTATTTTTCAATTTACCGATTTTTTTTAAAAAAAAAGAAAGAAGAAAAAAATGCATTGTCGATGGCAGAAAAGAACTTTCAGTTTATCCCGATTCAGATAAATTTTGTGCGTACATGGTACTTACCAAAGAAATGGAAAATGAATTACATCGGGGCCGATTGCCTAAATTCCTCAGTAATAAATCCATAAAAACACTTGCTCCATGTGTGAAAATAAAATTGCAAAAATATAATGAGGTCACTGTCAAATCACACCCATTAAGTTTACACACTAGATGACCTCTAAGATGTAACTAGCGGTCTCTTCAAAGGAATCTTTGATGTTTACAAACATGTAGCCCTGCACATCAAAGGAAGGTGCCCGACACTTAGATGACGTGTACACAATATTCTATTGATTAAAAGTAAGAAAAAGAAACTGTCATAATTTTTTGTGAAAAAATATTTACGCATTTTTAAATTATTGTGCAAAAGAAGATATTTTTATGGGATAAATAGTTTTCAATTAAATTA